GGCGCCATGTGCCTCCAGGCTCCCAGAAGCTCGCCCACGAGCCAGGTCGGGGTAAAATCCGTGGGGCCCGGCTGAGCTGGAAAGTAGAGGTGCTCTGCGATTGGGGCGTATCGCATGCCTGCCCTGACCGGCTGAAGTTGCAGGGTGCTATCAAGGAGGTCGAGGGCGTGCCTGTTGAGTGGCTGGCCCGTTTCCGCGCGGGGGTGAACCTGGTGGGGGTCGCCCGACTGCTGCTCGCCTTAGCTGCAGCTCCACGGGTTGGCCAACCTCTGGCAGGTGATGCAATGTCGGCCCACCGGGCCTCGAAGCATCCACGATCCGCAGAAGTCGCACCGTTGAGTCGGGCAAAAGAAATCCCGTAGCAGCAGGCGGTGCGCCGTGGTGGACCAGGGCCACGCATTGCCATTTCTGTCGCCACCTTGGATCGGTACCCTGGGGATGCCAGTTGTGCTGGCCGTTACTCCTGTTAGAGCTGGCTCTGCCCATGGCACGGGGCCTCTGCCTGATTGTTGTCTCGAGTGTACGTCGTCGCCAACCCGTTCGAGATTGCCCCTCCTGGTGGCCCAATGTCTGATGTCCCTGTGGTCCGGAAAGTGAACTATATTTTGCCTGCGCTCGTGGGTGGATTAGGACTCTGTGCGCGTACGCCCTGGTCTCGCTGTCCATGGGGTCTTGGGCGCCGTCTGGCCGGTTGGGGCCGCTGGGAGGCCTGGTGGGCGAGAGCATGTTGTCCGTGTCGCATCCACTCGGAGGCTCCATCCCGATGTCGCAATGGTGTGCTGCGGTCGTCATGACGGCGTACTCGCGACGTGCTAGTTGCATTTCCACCACGGAGGGATCGCCCGCGTCCAATCTTTCCAACCTTACACAGGGGTCATGAGTGACACTCGCGAAGCGGAAGGCTAGCACCTGCGTCGGATCAGGTTGAGTACCCCCTAAGCGTCCTTCGTGGTCTCCGCCTGTGACTGAGCAGACCAGCCAGGAGAGGTCCATGATGGCGAGGGCCGGTGCCGAGGTGGCTCGCTGAGATCCGAACCCGGGGAGGAGAGCGTCGTTTGGGACCGCTCGCAGGGGGCTGCCTTCCCATATGCCAGGAGATGACCAGGGCGATGCCCCCTTCCACGCGTGGTGGGTGAGGAGCTCCAGGTAACTGGTTTGGTCGGCGGTTCTAGGTGCCCCTCGGTCGGGGATTTCACGCCTGGGGCCGTCAATGCGCACTAGGTGGCAACGGAGGGCATTCATGGTGCCTCCCCTGCCTGTGACCCTAGGGTCAGCAACGCGCGGCCCACATATGGGTCCATCAGTCTCCCGACTGACTGCCCAGTCTGCGTTCGTGTGGGCCTGGCTGGTGCCATCCTCCGCGTCAGTGGGGGCATCCTGGCTCGCCATCCGAAGTTCCTCCTCTAGGGCTAGGTCTGGAGAAGGGATAGGGGGTGGGATGGGCGTACTGGGCGTTCTGGGAGCCGCACGCCTCAACACGAACGGAGAACCGCTGGCAGCCCTGATGAGGGGCCCACGGCCCACCCCTTGGGACGGGTCTTCGCGGCCATGGCCACTACCGCCCGTAACGGCGTCTGGATGTTCTAACCCAGGGGGGGGGGTCAGGAGAGGAGTGGATGGGAGGGGGGCGGGCAGGCGAGGAGAGGGAGACGCAGGGCGGTCCAGCGACGACGATCGGAGGTCCGATGCGATCGATCAGATCGACCAGGGAGCCCACTTCGTGGGCAGGGTCAGATGGGACCCTGCTGGCGTCGGACGTGCGGGGTCGACCCGTGGATACAGCCGTCGTCGCTACCAGGGAGGATTGGCCGCGGCCGTTCGTTTCGGCGCTGTCCGTAGCGAGACGCGCCGCTCTGTAGCCCCTGTCGAGCGCAGCATTCAGTATGCTCGTCGCGTCCACCCCAACCGTTTCCTGCTCATTTCTTCCTGGCTGAAGGCCAGTCCCATCGGTGAGGTCAACGACATGGGGGCTGGGTGCTACTGCCGTCATGGCGCCCATGTCTCCAGGGAGGGGAGCGGCGGCGTCATGGCGGCAGCCGCCCAGATCGCCTGCGGCACCGGCTGTGCCAGCCGCACCATCCTCGACGCGTCCTCTCTGGGTCGGCCCCGTTGCGGAGCCTGGCGCTTCCATGACCACGTCGGCGGTGTCGGCCGTGCGCCCGCCGCTGGCCTGGGAGTCCGCCTGCTGAGGGAGGCCCTGAGTTGCTTCACCAGGGATGGCTGGGGGCTCAATGCCGCCGCCACTCATGGCCACAGTCTCTGCGGCGCTCTCGGCATCCATGGGCATCGTCTCTGGTTCTCGAGCTGAAGGCTCGTCCCTTCTGTAATTGTCAGATGCGCCTTGGAGACTCGAGCTGAAGGCTCGTCCCGCCTGTGACTCCCGAGCTGAAGGCTCGTCCCGTCTGTGGCTGTCAGCTTGGGGGGCGGATGAAGGACGGGAGTCATCGGGATTACAGGGGTGACCAGGGAGCTGATTGACAGCCGTGCCGCCGTCAACGTCCATCTGTCCATTAAAGAATCCCGAGCTACAGGCTCGTCCACTCCTGCTGTCTCGCACGGCGCTCCCCGGGCTGAAGGCCCGTCTTCTGCGTGTGCAACACTGTCGTGCCCGGGGGAGGCGGCGGGCGGAAGGCGGGAGCCGTCTTGACGTCGGCTCACATCAGTGGGAGGGGTCGGCTGCGCGACCGGGACGACGGCCTCCACGGTCAAAGGATCGGCCCCTTCGCAGCTGAAGGCTGCTCCTCTCTGTATTGACGCGTCCAAGGGAGGGCGGTCGGCGGAGTGGGGGCGTGAGCCAATGGGATGTGGATCGGGGACGTGAGCGGACGGCGGTCCGTCCACCCACCCTTCATCACCGCAGTCACCCCCCTGGGCAGCCTCAAGCATAGGCCATCCACCCTCGTCGGTCAAGCTCCTGGGCCGATCTTCGAGAGCGCCTCTCTGGCGTGAGCTCCTGCGCGGCCCAAAAGGGCCTGAGCATCTCGGGGGGCGCTCTTCATCAGGAATGGGGCCACGGCCCCCCGTGGTCCTGGTATCGCCGCGCGCGATCCAGTCCTGCCTTTCACCGCCAGGAGAGAAGGATATTGGACGCCCAGCCAGGGGCAGAGGAAGCGTCGGGGTAAGGGAGGGAAACGGATCTGGCGGGAAAGAGTCATTGCTGTCAATATCAAACCCAGGGAAGCGACTGAAGGTCGCAGTGTGACTGTGTCTCGCGGCGCTCACCGTGGCACCCTCAACTTCCGTCCGGCTGAAGGCCGATTGTTCTCGTGTGTCTGCTGAGTTGACGGGTACGATCAAGGGATCCCCGGACGCGATCGGACCGATCGGGCCCGGAGGGTCCCAAGGAACGAGGGGCGACGGCTGCCCTGGAGGGATGGTATCCTGTGATCCTGGGGGAGGAGGGCTTGAACCAGCCAGTACGTGGGCCCCCTGGCCCTCGACTAGGTTTCCATCTTCACCCGCAGGGTTCCCAGGGATCCCAGATCTGTCGCCGATCGGGCTCCCATCCATGCCAAGCCTGACCTGGCAGGCTGGCTGCCGCGCCGCGCCGCTGGGGGATGTGTAATCCAGGGAGTCTGATATGGCCGAAGCGCGGCCCGGGGGCAGCGCGCGGCCCGCAAACTCCTAGGGATACCCCCTTGAGCCAGAGGGGCTTGAGCCAGGGGGCTACGGACTGCTGGTGGGGATACGCGAAGCGTCAAGAATTGCCAATATGGAATGCGGGCTCCATAGAGAGGGGGCTCTCGCCTGAGACTTCCTCGCAAGCCACTCAGAGACGAGGCACCCTTTAGAGACATCCTCACGATTTGCCTGCCCCCTTGGCGTGCTCAGGTGCTATGCCTGCCGATGGCCCGCTCGAAATGCCAACATGAAGGGCGGGCCCCATAGAGAGGGGGCTCCAGCCTGAGACTTCATCGCGATTCACTCACAGACGAGGCCCCCCGATCGAGACATCCTCACGATTCGCTCCCTCGGGCTGCTCACGTGACAAGCCTGGTCGAATATTCCGACGACCCGCTCAAACTTACCAACATGAAGTGCTGGCCCCATGAGGAGGGGGCTCCCGCCTGAACTTCCTCGCAGGTCACTCCAAGACGAGGCATGCGCTCGAGCGTTTATCATATGGGTACGTGAGTGTGCGAATGACTGAATGAATGAATGCTGGAAGTGACGATGGTGATGATGCTGGTGGTGATGATGATGAGTGTGTAAGTGAAATCGAATGATGCTTATAGTATGATGATGATGGTGGTGGTAGTGATGACCACGACGATGACGACGACGATGACGATTATGATTATGATGATTATGATTATGATTATGATGATGATGATGATGATGATGATGATGATGATGATGATGATGATGATGATGATGATGATGATGATGATGATGATGATGATGATTATGACGATGATGGTGATGATAACCAATGGTCATGGTGTGGTGATGGTGACGATGGTGACGGTGTTAACTATCATGGTAATGGTGATGATTGAAGAGACCTGAGATGAGCGCTCAGGAATATGACGATTGTGAAGATGCAGATGAAAATGGTCATGGTGATGGTCAGTGTGAAAAGAGGATAGGAAGACAGAAGAGGGTGAGGTGAGGCTGCGCAGGGGGCGTGTAGAGAAAACAAGAAACACAACATCAGGACGGACAAGTGTTTCGTCGTTTTCGGCCCCTAGGGACCTTGCCGCATCCCAGAACCGTCAGAACACGGCTCGCTCGGAATGGAAAACTGGGTCCGGGGAAAGGGTCGGGACTTCTGGGGAGCCCGTATTGAAAAAGACAAGACGTCGCGCCTGCCGCGTCGGATCGGCAACGGATCGGACCGCCCGCGGATGATCCCGAATCGAACCGACATCGGATCGCCGCGCCCGCCTCCGGCCAAAGTTTGACCGATGCCGGTGACTCGAGCCGAATCGAACCGAATCGGACTCGCGGCCCGAGCCGGCGAATCGAAGCGCGTCGAATCGGCTCGTGGGCGGCCCCGCCTGGTCTGGAGGGACGACCGCGAAGAAGTCGGGCCCGGCGCCCTGGGAGGTCGGGCGGCTCACCTGCGGGCGCCGCGCAGCCGCTCCCCAGCGAACCGAGGCGAGGCCGGCACGGGGACGAGGATCGGGCCGGGACCGTTCGGGGCTGCTCTGAGATCCAGCGGTGCTGGAGAATCTGCCGGGCGCCACGGCCGCTGCGGAGAGCCCTGGGACGCCCCAGAGCGCTCGGGACAGACCTGTCCCCGTCCTGGCCCCGCCCGGCCATGCCCACCGGCATGGCCCCAGGGCCCTGGCCCCACCAGATCCCCTCGGGCTTTGTTCCGCGGGGCCTCCTCTTGCGGAAGGAACAGACAGAACAGGAGCATTCGGAGGTCCGCAAAGATTCCTTGGACCTGCGCCGTGAGCCCCTCTCCCCGGCGCGCGCCAGGGGCGGCGCCTACCGAGCCCCTGCAAACGGGGGAAAGAATACAATCCACTCGAACATCAGCAAAAATTGCAAAAAGAGCACGAAGAGATGGTTCCCTGACTATTTTCTACCATTCTGGAACATCCCTCCCGCAGCGTTAGTAGACGGGCCAGTAGCCAAGGGTGCGTTTTCGAAGGTGCTTCCACAAAATCGATCCGCTGCGTACAAGCGCGAGGTGAACTCCCCCGCTCAGAGCTGTGATGATGCATCGACGCTTTGGTCGTCACGATGTATCACGCGCTCGTGCGATGTAGGTGCCCTGTCGGCCCGTGCTCGCTCGAAGAGGGCCCCCAGCTGCCACCCCGTTCACTGCCGCCCGGGCGGCGCAGGGCAACGGGTCCTGCGCAAGAGGACGCAGCGACCTCGGGCGGCGGCTTGCGCGGGCCGCCCGCGTGGCATGCCGCGTGGAAAAGAGGGCGCTCACACCCGACATCTTGCGGGAAACTGGTGCCCATTGGGGCCTCTTGAGGGGTTCCTGGGGACCTCGTGGGGCCTCTTTGGGGCATCTCGGGGCGGAGAGCTTGATTTGTCAGCTCGCGTTCCCTCTCGTGGGCCCCTCCTGGGGCCTTCTTGGGACCCTCTTGCTCCGTCTTGGGCGGCTCTGGGGCTGTCTCGGGGCTCTCCTGGGCCGTCTTGGGGCCCTCTTGGGGGCCTCTTGGGCTCGCGAGTGTCCGCGCCATCAAACCCGTTGTTCTTCGTCGCGGGTTGGGCTGGTGGAGCTGAGATGCCACGGCCCAATGGAGGTGGGGATCGGTCGGGCGATGCCGATGACCTGGCGCTCGCGCCCCTCGGAGGAGTTCCTACGGACCACGCTGCGCCCCGAGTCTATCCGCATGACCTCGCGCACCATGCTGCGGGTGTCCTTGGGGCCTCCCACAACTAGTGGCCCCTGGAAGCAAAAAGGCATCGTCACTTGGCGGCTCCGTTGTGCATGAGCTTCGCCATTTCCGGCGTATGTTTCCTCGGGTTGCGTCGCCGTTTATGTTTCTGGTTCTGGCTCCAGGGTATGAACATCGTTTTTCGTAATGTCTAGGAACATGCTTCTATTGTTTCACATGGTCCACACATATTTTCACAGAAAACGGAGCACTGATGCAAGAAGACGCAGAGACCTTCCGCCGCGGCGTACGCCGGCCGCCAGCGCGGCACACCGCGTGGAGAAAGGGGGGGCGCTTACGCGCGACCGTGCGCGGAAAACTTACGCGCAAACGTCGTCGCAGTCGACCCCGACTTCTTCCGTCGCTCAGGCGGGGTCGGACGATCGCACCGCATCGACGATGCATACGTGACGTTGGCGCCGAGAAGGTCAGACTCTGGGCCCCTCCGCATCGCCGGTGCACCAGAGATGCGGCCCGACGCTCCGAAACCACCTGCTCTGGCCCAGTCCGGGCTGCCTGGAACTCAGTACGATCAAGATGTGTGCGGAAAGAATGAAGACTGCCACTCTTTCCTGCTCTTTCCTGGAAAAAGACTCGGTGCGGTGCCTCCACGGGCGTTGCCCACTGGAGACAACAGGTTACCTGCTCAACAGTTGCTGTCGCGTTTTGTTAATAGCTGATGTTGGGCATCGCACCTGTTGTTTCCCCATGTCGGGCGTGCCCACGGGATCCTCCGACCTGGGCGACATGGACCTCCGGCACGACTCCTTGGACTCCTGCAGGAGAAGAAAATCGGCATGAACATAAACTTTCGGAACTCCGCCTGGACTTCTGGGATCTGCGCTGAAGCCCTCCCCTGGAGCTCGGAGCGCGCCAGGGGCGGCGACGGAGGTGCCGGTCGGGGGGGAACCAGCGCAGATCCGAGACATCCGCGGGGAGCTCCGACAATCTAAGGTATTGCTTCCTACTATCTCCAGTCCACGACTCCCGACGTAATGATTTTGTTCATGACGTCGTCCCCCAAAGGTCCCGGTCGACCCTTTCCCCAGGACCGGCTTTGCATCCTGAGTCGTTTTTCGACGCTCCCGAGGCCCGGTGAGGGCCCCCGGAGGCCGAAAATTCAGAAAAACCCTCCGTCGGCTTTGCATCCTGAGTCGATTTTTGACGCTCCCGAGGCCCGGTGAGGGCCCCCGGAGGCCGAAAATGCAGAAAAAACCCTCCGTCGTGATTTTCGCCACTGCTCGAGGGGGTCTGGGGCAGCGGTGGCTGACGGGCGGGGGGGAGGCGTTGGGGCCCCGGGGCAGTGGCAACGCTTGGGCGGAGTGGGGGCGCGTCGAGGCGGGGGCGCGCTGCGACCTCCATGGCATGCGAGCGAGCACCAACACGCGGGGGGAGTCCACGCCCCCCTCCCCTGCGCACGATCGTGATCGCTACCCAGGAGGGGGGGATCGGCTCGGGTCACGACCGCTGCGCGCCGGAGGGTACAAAAAAACCGCGGGGGGAGTCCACGCCCTCCTCCCCTGCGCACGATCGTGATCGCTACCCAGGAGGGGGGGATCGGCTCGGGTCACGACCGCTGCGCGCCAGAGGATACCAAAAAGCAGCAGGCCCTACGTTCCTGCAGCTTTTCCTTCGTGGATCCTGGACCTCGGAGCCCTCCGAAGGCCTGCAGCTGCTCTCCGAGGGCCGCCGGTTGCCGCTGCCCTGCAGCCTCTGCGACGAGGGGCCGGTGCTGGACGGGCCCGGGAGGACCAGCGGCGTCTGGAGCATCGCTGGCTCCGTCAGCACCTGCCCGGATGTGCTTGCGTCGTGAAAAACCCAGACCCCGACGTAATGATTTTTTCATTACGTGGACCCCCAGAGGTCTCGACCCTTTCCCCATGACCGGTTTCTCGTCCTGATTCGTTTTTTGACGCTCCCGAGGCCCGGTGAAGGCCCCCGGAGGCTGAAAATTAGGAAAAACCTCCCGTCATGATCTTTGCATCACTCGAGGGGGTCCGGGAACGGCCCCCCTGGCCACAAACCCCGAGGGAGTCTGTTGGTTTCGTGACGTGGGCCCGCAGAGGTCTGGGCCCCGTCCCCGGGGAGCCCAAGCCGTGCTCGGACTGCACATCGTCCCCACTAGTGCGTAGGTGCGCTCTCCGTGCCGCTCCCCATGGTCTTCGCGATGGCAGCGGCACGGAAGGGGGCGGGGGGTGGAGCAACGCACGGTCGAATCACGGGTCCCTCAGTGTGTGTCTGTGTGTGTCTGCGTGTGTATATTTAGATACATAACTAGATAAAGTTGTATATCTTTGTGAATAAATGTATATGAATAATATATATATATATACATGCGTATATATATGCAAATATATAGAGATATATACATATCACATGCATATATGTACATACATGCATATATATATACACATACAGGTTTGGATATATCGACCTTGCTGTACTATACGTAGACACATACGCATACATGTGTTTACATTCATGCTGCTATATAACAATATATGTATGTACATCTGCGTGTATCGTTGTTCTTATAGGAATATAGTTCGGCGTATACCAACGTAGACATCGACATATATATATATATATATATATATATATATATATATGCACATATATATATATGGATTGATTGATGTACGTATGTGTATATATACGTATACATGTGTGTATACATACATATATGTGTGTATGCCGATCGTCTCCGACTCATATGTGTGTGCACCTAAGACTATTCACCTAATGTAGACATATATAGATGCACTTAGAAGCATGTACATGTGAATATACTAACATATCGAAATATAACTAGAGATCCCGCCAACGTGCCGCTTGGCACGGAGTTGGCGTGTCCTCGGGTCCTTCCACTAGCCCTCTGAGCCTCAGTCGCCACTCCTGACGAGTTTTCAATGTTCGGAGCCTCGAAGGCCAAATCTTCCGGGGCGGCCCGCGACGGCCCACTGTGCTGTTCACCCGCGTCTTGTCACATGTTTGTTTCGGACCCGAGAGGGCCCAAAGACGGGCCAAGAGGGCCCCAAGATGCCCCCACTCCAAGGTGCTCAAGATGCCCCCCAGACAGCCCAAGAGGCCTCCAAGACTCCCAAAAAGGCCTCCAAGAGGCCTCCCAAGAGGCCAACATCTATGATTGTCTTAAGTTGTTGGAAGATTCTGGCGCTCTCGCCTTTTCGGCTTCCCGACGCTCCTAGACGGTCCTAGAAGCCCCCAACCCAAGACCGCCCCAAGAACGCTCCAAGACGGCCCGAAACAGAACAAGAGGGCCCCAAGACAGCCCAAGAGGTGCCCAAAACTGCTAAAGATGGCCCCAAGACGGCCCCAAAGGGGTCCCAAAGAGGGAACACGAACCCACAATCTGAGCCTTCCGCCCCAAGAGGCCTCCAGGAGGCCCCAAGAGGCGCCCAGGAGGCCCTCAGAGGCCCCAAGAGGCCGCCAAGAGGCCCCCAAGAGGCCCGAAAGAGGCCCCAAGAGGTCCCCAATCGGCCCCCAAGATGCGTCCAAACTGCCTTCAAGAGGCCACCGAGAAGCCCATCACGAGATCCCAGCGAACATCAAATAGGCTTCACCCCCACAACTCAGGCAGGGTGGCTGGATGGGCCGAAGGCCATCGTATATACATACATACATACATACATACATACATACATACATACACACATTATATATATATATAGATATACACATGTGTGTATATTAGAACCACGCGCTCGCTTCGCGCTTGGGTTCAAGTCAGAGCTGGGCCACATATCGGCGGCATTGCGAAGTCCGCTGCATGTGGGCGTTGCAGAGCCTCCATCCGCCTCGGCCCCCTCCCCTCCCCTCCCTCGTCATCGTCCTTCTCCTCCTCCTCCTCCTCCTCCTCCTCCTCCTCCTCCTCTTCCTCTTCCTCCTTCTCCTCAGCCCCGCGTTCCTGCTCCTGTTCCTGCTCTCCCTCCTCATTGCCTCCTCCTCGTTACTCCATTTTCACTTCTCTTCGTTCTCCTCCCCTTCCTCCTGCAGTTCCTCCTCCTTCTCCCTCTTTTCCTTTTGGCCCATGTCGTGCACCTCCTCCTCTCCTCCTTTTGCAGCTCCTCCTCCTCCTCCTCCTCTTCCCTCCTCCTCCTCGTCTGATTTTCTTCTTCCTCCTCCTCCTCTTCCTCCGCCCAGATGTTCCCGCAGAAGTCTCCAGGAATATATGGGCGGCTGGTATCCACGGGCGTCCGGAGGCGTCGGAGGGGGCATGTTGGAAGCCTCTTGGGGGCCTCTAGGGGGTCTCTTTGGGGCCTACTGAGGGGCCTCTTGAAGGTCTCTTGGGGCCAGTTTGGGGCCTACATGGGGTTCCCGAGCTGGCTGGAAGCGCTCTTGGCCCGTCTGACGCCTTCGGCAAATGTCTGGCCGACTGTGCAATCGTTGTCAGTAGACCGTGCGCTAACCCACCAACCCCTCGATACACAGGGAGAGTTTCCCCGGGCTAGGGCCGCCATTGGCGTGTGGAGGTGCTGGGCCTTGTGGGGGGTAACTTCGGGTTCGGTGGGCCGTCGCGGAGCCGTGCGACATCGACGTGCGACGCGTCGGACGGCTCCGGAACCCTCTCGGGAGTCTCCTGGGAGCTTCCCAGGGGCCTCCTGGGACCTCCTGGGGGCCTTGTGCGGGCCTCTTGGGACCCTTCTTGAAGACGCCTTGGGGCCCCGTGGGGCCTATTTGGGGGCGTGGGGCCAAGCCAAGCATCCGGAGGGACGCGTGGGCAGAAGAGAGCGCATGTGGCACCCCTTCGACGAAAAAGATACCCAGAATGGTTGCGTGGGGCGGGGGAGGGAGAAAACGTCCAAGAAACGAGACCGCCAAAAAACGAGACCGTCAAAAAGCGACTTGGGATGATATGGGACGCACAGAGACATACTAGTACTATATGTCCTCCTTGGAGGCGCGCGTCCGACCCAACCATTATATAGTATACCCATCTTGTCGTGTGTATATATATATATATATATATCGCTTCTCGAGGGGTGTGGCCAGAGAGCACCCGCCGCGACACGTATATCGGGAGCCCACACAGGACGTACGCGCCCAGCTATGTACATGAACACGGCCCCTCGATTCGCGAGACCGGCCGCGTTATACGAACACCTGTGCAATGCGTGCTCTCGCAACCAGCGTGGATTCATGTACACGTACGTCCTTCTTTCGCTCCTGAGTATAGTAGAAGATTTCTCGGTGCGCGCGTCGCCCCTGGGGTGGGCGACGCACATATAGATTAAGTACCTATACGACCACCCTTCGGGTGGTAAGGAAGTTGTGGGGGGGGGGTAGGGAGAGGGGGGGAACCAACATCTCACTCAAACGATCTCAGTATCGATCTCACTCAACGGGACATCACGGCACACCACGGGACACCACGGGGCACTTGTCGATCTCACTATCGATCTCACTCATCGGGACACCACGGGCCACCACGGGACACCGCGGGACACCTCTCGATCTCACTATCGGTCTCACTATCGATCTCACTATCGATCTCGCTCAACATGACACCATAGGACACCACGGGACACCACGGGGCACCTCGGGGCACCACATCGATCTCACTATCGATCTCACTATCGATCTCACTCAACGGGACACCACGGGACACCTCGGGACACCTGTCGATCTCAGTATCGATCTCAATTCTTGGGACACCACGGGGCACCTCGGGGCACCACATCGATCTCACTATCGATTTCACTCAACGGGATACCACGGGACACCGCGGGACACCTGTCGATCTCACGATCGATCTCACTATCGATTTCACTTTTTGGGACCCCACGGGACACTATGGGACACCTCAGGGAACCACATCGATCTCAATATCGATCTCACTATCGATCTCACTATCGACCTCACTCAACGGGACACCACGGGAAACCACGGGACACCACGGGACACCGCGGGACACCCCGAGCCACCGTCGGACGGACGGACGGACGGGCGGGCGGGGGAGAATCATTTGTCTTGACTTCGCCCTAGCAACGGCGGACACCACGGGACACCACGGGACACCACGGGACACCACGGGACACCGCGGGACACCGCGAGCCACCGCCGGACGGGTGGGCGGGCGGGGGAGAATCATTTGTTGCGACTTCGCCCTAGCAACGGCGGGTTCATCCCTCTCGCGCGCCCACGCAGCTTCGCCTCGCCCGCACGCACGACACGAGCGAAACGAAACGATTTTCCGGTGGGGGGTCTCCGCTCCGCTGCGCTCTCACCCCTCAACCTCCGATATTGGGGTGATGCCGATGATACAGTCGGGGCGTGGACCTAAGGAACCCTATAGATAAGGAACGAGGCCCCTTTTTTCCATAAATGAGCCTTCGATTTCCGGTCGAAAACATAAGGAAAGCCTGAGGCAAGCTGTGAAACACTTAAGGAACGCGGAACCCCTCCCCAGCGAAAAGTGTTCCTTCTTCAGGGCCCGGACTGTAAGCTGGTCCCGGGCACAAAAGGGTCGAGAGACTTCTGGGGGGGGACCGCGCGCTGCAACAGTCAGGGCACCGGAGGCCTGGGTGATCGGCGGACTGCGCATGCGGCGGGGAGCTGGCGTCAGGTCGAGCATGTCCCCCTACAGGGAGCTTTTTGACGAACAATTCGAAATACCCAACACAATTCAAACATACAAAAGAATGCTCGAACAATTGTCCCCTGACTTTTTTAAAAACAGCTATCTTTAGATACTCCTCCTGTAGAGGGACAGGCCCGACTTAAAACTGGCGGGACCTTTCTGTGCGGCTTTTTTTGTCGAGCCGCATCGA